CAGCAGCAGCAGCAGCAGCAGCAGCAGCAGCAGCAGCAGCAGCAGCAGCAGCAGCAGCAGGAAGAACCTGAAGAGTGCAGAAGAGTTTCCTTTCCAGAGGGAGAAGAAGCCTCCAGTTCGAACGAAGGTTTGGAGCTCGCGGGGAATTTGGCGGAGAGAAAAAGAGGAGGAGACGGAGGCGCTTTGGACCTGCAGCAATTTGCAAAATTCGAACTTTTGAATTTCCAAGTGCCTAAAAAGAAGATTTTGCAAAATTCAAAAAGGGGGTTTTAAATGGACTTTCAAATACTCCAAAAGGGCCTTTAAAACGCGCAAAAAGGCGCTTTTAAAGCCTCAAAAAGGAACTTTGGAATGTTCAAAAAGATGCAAAAAACGCGATGCAGCAGCAGAGGCGAAGGCCGCAGGGGCGCAAAAGGAATAAATAACGGAGAAATAAATTCGTTTTGAAGTTTAAATTTAAATTAAAAACAAATAAAAGAAGAAAATGGAGAAAAAATGAAGAAAAACGAGCGAAAATGAGTCAACGGAGGGCTGGTTTGGTCGCAAGCAGCGCAGCTTTCGGTTTTGCAGAAAACTTGAAAAAGGAGGAAACTGCGGATTAAAACTTGAATTTGGAGTTCAAATGAAAAGCAATTTGCAAAAAAAAGAATATTAATTGAACTGGAGGCGAAATAAGGCTCTGATCGGCCTCGAAGCAGCTGCGTTTCCGCAAAGTTGAAACTGGGAAAAGGCGAAAGAAAGCTGCTGCAGCTGCGCAGCACTTGCTGCCAAACTCCAACAAACCCACCTGCAACTTCATTTTAAGTCGGTCTAAAGGATAAACAACAGTTTTGGCAATTGTTCCGGCGATGGATCCGCGGAGGAGCTGGCAAGTTGTGCAAATGGAGGCGCTGAGGTGTCTAGACACCTCGGCGCCCCCAGCCGCAGCCGCCTGCGGAGATACGCGAAACTCCTCGGCAGTCATTTTAATTCTTTTCCAGTTTTCTCATCTTCGCCGAAAAAGCCGAACAAGCCTTCGCTGCGCGCCGCGGCAGGCCCGCATCGCCGCCAGGTCTTCCGCCGCCTTCCCACGGAGGCATTAATTTGCGGACCAAATTCGCTTTTTTCCAACTCTAAATGTCCCTTTTTCTTTTCTTTTTCTAAATTTTAGTCCGAGAGAAGACCAGCAAGCCCCGCCGCCGCAGATCGCGGCAGCCTCGGGGGCCCCCGCTCGGAAGCATTTCTTGCATGAACTCCTTCAGCGCGGCTCTTCCTGCTGCCAAAAGGACCATTTGAGTTGTTTTTTGCACAAAAGTAAGTGAAATTTGCACTATTAAGCATTTAAATTTGTTAAATTCGTCATTTTGTTGATTTATTTCTTCCGAACGGCGCCGCAGCCGCTCGCTGCTGCTGCAGCACGGCGCGACTTCGCCGCTCCGCCCCTCTGCATGCGCAACTTCTGGCCATTCTTTTCTTCTTTTTTTTCCTTTTTTGAAACTCTTTTGCAGTTTCAAATCCCCCAAAATGCTTTTCTGCTTCCGAAGCAGCTGAAGGCCCGCGCCCGGCGGCTCCGCCCGCTTGCTGCTGCCAGCAGCAGCGCCAGCGCACTGCAGCACGCGCCCCCGCGCCGCAGCAGCAGCAGCCGCAGCAGCAGCAGCCGCAGCAGCAGCAGCAGCAGCAGCCGCAGCAGCAGCAGCAGCAGCAGCAATGGGCGGCCACGGGGGCCTCAACATTCTGCCGCAGAAGCGGTGGAATGTCTACAGAGATGACAACAGGCTGCGGGTGCTGCGCGATGAAAGAGAACTGCAGCAGCAGCTGCAGCAGCAGCGGCAGCAGCAGCAGCGGCAGGTGCTGCTGGACGCAGTCACTTTGTTCAAGCGGCGTAAGCACGGTGTTGCTGCTGCTGCTGCTTCGCCTGCTGCTGCTGCTTCGCCTGCTGCTGCTGCTTCGCCTGCTGCTGCTGTTTCGTCAGCTGCTGCTGCGCCTGCTGCTGCTGCCGCGCCTGCTGCTGTTGCTGCTGCAAAGCCAGCAGCAGCAGCAACGGACGCTCCCGCTGGACCCGCTGCAGCACACAAGCAGCAGCAATGGAGCAGCAGCAGGTTCGCAGCGTCTTCTGGAGGCGCAGCAGCAGCAGCTGCTGCAGCAGCAGCAGCAGCAGCGCCTCCACTCCCTCCGCACTCCCCCGTCACGCAGCAGCAGCAGCAGAGACGCCAGCAGCAGCAGCAGCAGCAGCAGCAGCAGCAGCAGCAGCAAACTGGAGTGAAGGGCCCGACTCTTGCTGCTCCACTGTCTGTACACCGCGGGCGCCTCGACGGGCTCGGGCGCCGCGGCCCGAAAGACCACATAAATTTGTTTGCTGCTGCAGAAGCAGCAGCAGCAAAGCAGCAGCAGCAGCAGCAGCGGTACCTGCTGCAGGCGGGGTACAGCAGCAGCAGCAAAAGCGACTTCGCAGTCATTGCCAGCGAGCTCAAAGCCAACACTTGGTATGCAGCAGAAATGCCTTCAAACCTGCGGGCCAGGGCTGAGGAGGAAGCAAAAGCTGCTGCTGCTGCTGCTGCTGCTGCAGCACCTGCAGCAGCAGCAGCAGCAAACAAAAGCAAAGCGAAAAGGAACAAATTCAACGAAGACAAACTCAGGGAAAGTCCAGGCCGCCCAGCAGCAGCTGCTGCGGGGGGCCCGCAGCGCAGAGAAGACCCCGTAGCAGCAGCTGCTGCTGCAGCAAGAAACCGCATGCTGCTGGCTCTCCAGCAGCAGCAGCAGCAGCAGCAGCAGCAGCAGCAGCGGGGAAGGCACCCCCCAGGGGACTCTGCGGACTCTGCTTCGCCGCGACTTGCGGTGTCTGTACAGCACAGCGAGGAATGCGTGGCCGTGGACTCCGACAGCAGCAGCAGCAGCAGCAGCAGCAGCAGCAGCAGCAGCAGAAGCCACCGAAGCAGGAGCCGCAGCAGCAGCAGCGACGTGTGCATAATTGCAGAGCGCGGGGTGTCTACGGAGGCCGCTGGAGCGAGCAGCTTTAATTGCAGCAGCAGCAGCAGCAGCAGCAGCAGCAGCAGCAGCAGCAGCAGCAAAAGGCAGCATAAAAGCAGCAGCAAGGCAGCAGCAAATAAAAAGGATAAACGCAAACGATTGAAGGAAAAAGAACAGAAGATCTTCAAGAAGTTGAAGAGGAAGTGGCTGCTGCAGGCTCTGGAAATGCAGCCGCAAACACAAGCAGCAACGTAGCGCATGCAGCAGCAGCAGCAGCAGCAGCAGCAGCAGAAGCAGCAGCAGCAGAAGCAGCAGCAGCGTGCGCGTCTTTGGCGGCAAATAGGGCGCCTGTTTGTTGCGGCAGAAGCAACTTTTGCAGCTGTTGCGGAACTGTTGCTGCTGCTGCTGCAGTTGTTGTAGAACTGTTGCTGCTGCTGCTGCAGCTGTTGTAGAACTGTTGCTGCTGCTGCTGCAGCTGTTGTAGAACTGTTGCTGCTGCTGCTGCAGCTGTTGCTGCTGTGGCAGCTGTTGCAAACGCCCGCTGCCGCTGCAGCAGGCGCTGCAGCTGCTGCTGCAGTCTTGCCGCTGCTGCTGCTGCTGCAGCAGCAGCTGCAGCAGCAGCGTCTCTGGAGCTGTCTTTCAAGGACAATTGGAGACTCGAACTTAGTCAATTCATTTTAGTTGAGCAGCCAGGCAGGTGTCTGTACACCGCGGCACACAAGTGCTGGGCGGAGTGGCCCGCATTTGCAGTGTACGTACACCGCAGTTGGAGCCGCGCAAAGGAAAAAAGGGAAAAGTCCTTCAAAAACTGTTATTAATTATTATTATTATTTAAATTGTTTTAATTATTCAATTATTTAATTATTTTCAAGTCCAAGAGCCGCAAATTAGCGGACAACAGCTGCAGTGGCCTTCCGGGCTCTGCAGTTTCGAGGCCGGCCGGGAATTGGGGTGTACGTACACCTGGCGACGCCAAGCAGCGCGTCTGCGCTGCTCGCAGTTAATTACAAATCAATTTCAAATTGATTTCATTTCATTATTTTAATGAAATTAAATCAATTTGAAATTGATTTAATTTCATTAAATCAATTTCAAAACTTCTCGAGAACCTGCAGACTCCGACGTATATAAATAACCTCCCGGTGTACGTACACCCGGTGTACACCCGGTGTACGTACACCGGGTGTACGTACACCCCAGCAGCAGCTGCGTTGGAAGGATTTCTTTCTTTTGAATTCTTTTCTTTTAAATCCCAACTTAATCTCTAAAGTCCCATTTATTATTTAAAAAAAAATAAAGTGCAAACTCGGAAAAATAACTTTATTTCTTTTCACCTGCTGCCAGCCCCATTTGCAATTTCTGTGGCTTTCTGAATTGCTTCTCTGGGGCTCAAGTGCGGCTGCTGCTGCAGCAGAGCCTGCACCAGTTCCATGTCCGGCTTCCGCTGCTGCTGCTGCTGCTGCTGCCGCTGCTGCTGCTGCTGCTGCTGCTGCTGCTGCTCTTGCTGCAGCTCCGTTTCTGCTTCGAGGTCCAAAGACCTTCCCGCGGGCCCGGCACCTTCCCCGCGCTGCTGCTGCGCCTCTGTCTTTGAGGGGCGCAGTGCAGCAGCAGCAGCAGCAGCAGCTGCTGCTGCTGCTGCTGCAGACGAAAGGCCGGAGCCGCGCTGCTGCTGCTGCTGCTGCTGCAGCTGCTCCGTTGCTGCTATCAAAAGACTTTCAACGTAAGCCAAAAGCGCAGGGGAGTCCATTTCTTTGATTTCTTCTCTGTAAGAATCGAGCTGCTGCAGCAAGCGCCTGAGAGCGAGACTTGCTGCTCTTTGGTCCGCTGCTGCTGCGAGCTGCTGCTGCTGCTGCTGCTGCTGCTGCTGCTGCTGCTGCTCCAGCTGCTGCAGCTGCTCGTCCGCTGCTGCCAGCTGGCTGCTGAGCGCAGCGCGGCGGCGAGCAGCAGCTTCTTTTCTTTCCACTTCTCTTCTTTTGTGTCTTCTCGAAGAAATCCAATTTAATAATTCTTTTGCCAAAATGATGCATGCAGAAGCAAGAAAAAGGGCCAAGCCA